TACGCAAGGAACGCCAGCCGGTCAAAAAACTGGCGAACGAATACCTAGTGCTTGAATTATATTCAATGAAAATTTCAGGAGACATAAATAATCTTAACCCTCGCCCGTATAGGGGGGGGGGGGTCGAACGGACCCCCCCCCCATGGTTCTTCGCGAATAACTCGCGTAAAAAGCGGCCGATCACGACGAAACTTTCAGTACCCTCGCGTTCATCAATTTCACACCTACCCTGAAAATTTCATGACCCTGACCCAAATGACCTTTGACCTGTGACCTACTTTTCGAGACCATGTTTGGCTGGAATCGCGATTCGGCGTATGTCGGCTCGCATTAGCCGCGCGTTTGCAGTCTTTTCGTGGTTTCAAGCGTTCAAACATGTGATATGATGTTGCCCCCATGCATTAGGGTGGGTGTCAAGGTCACCTGAAGGTCAGGGTTCAGGTCATTGACCTTTGATGACCTCGGCTCACTTTTTCGAGTTTTACATGTTTCTATGCCAGTTTTTGGAGCTGAATTCGAATTTAGCAACCATATGAACATTTACGAAGTAGTTTTGGTGCCTTCGTAACTTGTTACGAAGCTGTCAGAGGCGGTTGCCACCTACTACGAATACCCTTACTGGTTAACCTGACCTGACCTGACCCGACCTGGCCTAAATACATGAAGACATCATCTGTGATCAAAACTAACATGATATTCGTGATCAGCACCCCGAAAAACCCCAAAGCAGCCACACTTTACGACGTTCTAACAGGTCCCGATTTTCCCGCCTTTGGGGTCATTGACCTGACCTGCAAGGTCAACCAATGACCTAGGACCTTAAAATTGGATATCATCGGCTTCCTCTCGTCACGGGCAACACGCTCGTTTTTTTCCGCGAAGCTCTAGCTCGATCAGGGGCGAAACGGCAAGGGGGGGGGGGTCCAACGGACCCCCCCCCCCCCCTTTTACGTTCGCGGCTGGAAAAACACTAATACGGGCGAGGGTTTTAATCCTTATAGCTAGGCGCTCGGAGCATTCGCTAGCATTCCATTGCCAGCTGCATTATCAACGCCACATTTGCATTACTCTGGGTGCATCATAAGTAGGTGAACCGGCCACAGCAAAACCATGCCTTATTATCCTTTCTTTCCAAGCTGCCAAGCTAACCGGCCGCCCGGCCCACCACCGCGATATGGAACAACGCTGGAGTGCGCCATTTGCCTACGGCAGTGCCCCACCGCGCCGGCCGCCGAGGCTGTTTGACAGGTCACCCGCACCGTGACCTCGCCACCCGCCCCGCCCTCCCCGCCCACCTCCCCACCCTCCCCATCGGGCCCAGCTCGGTAGTGACCTCTCCTTGAATTTGACATGGACTCGACTAAGGCTCAACGCCATCTAGTTACGTCTGGAGATCCTAATAAGATCCACTGTACATGCAATTTATATTTCTGGTATACACAACATGGCGGAAATCGATAGACAAAAACAAGTCACCAATGCTCCTTCCAGTATATATTAGAGTTCAGTGATTTTAGCACTAATTTCTTTGCATGAGATGATACAGTATGCACAATATTGCAAACTAAAATTCAGCTCCATGTCACTTGCTCAGTGACCGCCAGAGCCTTAGGTGTGAACATGCCAACATGATTATTGTTTTTACTTTGAACTGACCTGTGACGTCATAAATGACCTCGAGGTCAGCAATATTGGCTTTTGCCCAACATCTTTTCCTGGGCTATCAAACCTCCTTTGAATTTTAAAGATCGGACTAGTGGTTTCGGAGATAGGAGGGGGAGGCTCTGTACTCTGTAGAGCCCCGCCAATCACTCGCGTTATGGACTACAGCCCATGCACGCACGGGATGACAGCAAAGAGGTGTAGGGGAGACGACAGATAGAGAAGTGTTCAGGGGAACCACATGCTTATGGAAAGTACAAGAATGAAAGACTCAAACGTTTCGAACCGTCCAGTATCTGACTAAAGTTATATCAGCTGATTATATTAATGATTAAGAATTAAGATATGTGACATACTAAGATATATGATAAAGCCGCAATGCATTTTCAATGGGTAAAAACAAATAATCTCGAGCGCACTCAAACCCTTATCTTTCCAAACCTGCCACTTTAACAAAAGCGGCTTTCTGCAATACCTTCCATTCTAGCCTCGCTTTTTAATCGGGCAGGCTTTGAACTTTTCAAACGTTCCTTTGATTCTTTTAGCTGAGGACTGAAGTCGTCACTAAGTGAATGCAGCGGCACCGGCCAAAATACCTTCAAATTAGACGACTCTGGAGAGCAGTCTACGCATTCTTGCATACTTACGAACGCTAAATGGTGTGCAGTAGTATATGAAATTCTTCTATCAACGCCACGGATTCCTTGGTGTGGCAGACGTGAAAAATGCCGCCATCTCGATAACCCGGATGTTTGAAAAACGACGCAAGGCAAGGGAAAGAATGGTAGCAAAAACGACTCTTCCAGCTCAAAGTCCTAGGTACTTTTTCATCCGGCCGACCGCACGAACGTGTTGCATCATCTATGCAAGGTGTCACCAAAACAATGCACGTACCCTTATCTTTAACGAATAGCAGCTCAAAGCTTATCGGTATGGTGACAAATCTCATCCGTCATTGGAAACTGCTGTCAAATTTACCGAACTTCGAAAAACACGGAACAGATAGTGCATGGACGCGTTTCGATTATTAAATCTGCATCAGCATGACATAATCACAGAGAAAACAAGATATATATATCAAGATATATATATCTTGTTTTCTCTGTGATTATGTCATGCTGATGAAGATTTAATAATCGAAACGCGTCCATGCACTATTTGTTCCGTGTTTTTCTACTTGTCTCCATCAATATACAATTACCGAACTTCATTTTATTTGGGAACGCACTGTACTGTTGTCTTACTACGCGCAATTTAGACCTAACTCTCGCCCGTATGGGGGGTCGAACGGACCCCCCCCCTCTCGGTTTTTCGCGAATAACTCGCGTAAAAAGCGGCCGATCGCGATGAAACTTTCAGTACCCTCGCCTTAATCAATTTTACACCTACCCTGAAAATTGCATGATCCTGTCCCAAATGACCTTTGACCTGTGACCTACTTTTCGAGACCATGTTTGGCCGGAATCGTGATTCGACGTATGCTGGCTCGCATTGGCCGCGCGTTTGCAGTCTTTTCAAGGTGTCAGGCGTTAAAACATGTACCTAATATGCTGTTGGTCCCATGCATAAGGGTGGGTGTCAAGGTCACCTGAAGGTCCGGTCATGTCACTGACCTTTGATGTCCTCGGTTCACTTTTTCGGCTTTTACATGTTGTCAGGCTAGTTTTTGGAGCTGAATTCGAATTTAGCAACCATTTGAACATTTACGAAGTAGTTTTGGCACCTTCGTAACACGTTACGAAGCTATCAGAGGCAGTTGACACCTACTACAAATACCCGGCGGCAGGACCCTTACTGGTTGACCTGACCTGACCTGACCCGACCTGGCCTAAATGCATGAAGACATCATCTATGATCAAGACTAACATGATATTCGTGAACGGACCCCTCCCCCTTATACGCTCGCGGCTGGCAAAACACCAATACGGGCGAGGGTTAAATCGTTTCAAAACTGTATAAATGAAAACTTCAGATGTTCATAGGTAATTCGTTAGCCCTATATCAAACTGTACCCTCTTGTTATTTAACAGCTACATAGGTAGCTACGTACGAACAACTTTCATTTTTAACGTAACATTAAAGGTAGTGTGCCAGCTTTCCTGGACCGTATGGAGTTAATGGCCCAGATAAGGAGAACCGGATTTTTAGAACTTATCCATACCTTCACAACTCATGGAAACGTCTTAAATTCTTCAAATTTTGAGTACCCCAGTGCGAAATTCGCCCCGACGGGTTGTCGGTCGTACCCCAACCACATTTCACACCACTATGAACAATAAATGCACACACTGAAATCGCTATTACCGATATGCTCATCCAATCAAGTTTCGATAAACCCGTTCACCATCATCTCCTGCGGTTTCGAACACGCCTGTTAGGTGGTGCGGTAGACCGCGCCCAAAGCCAGGGCCCCGGAAACGTGAGGTAGCCGAGTCGGGGCAGCGTGCGCTGACCCAAGCCGGGGCCGCGCGTCCTCCCGGTGTCATGTGATAGCCCGGGGCTGCCCGCGGGGATGCGGTAGACCGCGCCCAAAGCTGCGGCCCCGGCTTGGGTCAGCGCACGCTGCCCCGACTCGGCTACCTCACGTTACCGGGGCCCTGGCTTTGGGCGCGGCTTCTGCTCATACTTTGTGGTGCGGTGGTGGTGCGTCGGGCCGCGCGCTCTGACTTCGGCCAAGAAAAATGCGTCAGCTGATCATTGTCATTTCTGCCACTTGCGTGTGGTGAAATGGGGTCATAACTTAAGAGACGGCTTTTTCATATCAATTATTTTACATAAAATCATATTTCAAACCGTAAATAATGTTCGACAGCCAAATAAAAGAAACAATACCAATACAGGCTTACAGTTTAAGGCTCGACATTGTGTTGTCTACGATTAGACAGCTGATAACTCCTTCCCGTACGTCGTAACTCTATAATGACCTTTGCTTATTGTCACATGTGCGCCGCATTCGCGATTGTTGCCGACGCCTGTTTGCAGCTCAGCCCACTACAGTTGTTATACATATCGAAAAACCGATAAACTTTTAGGCGAAAAAGGCACTATTCCAGGCCCATTTTTGATTTTTTTGCAATATTAGGTAAAAACAGAAGCTTCTTATCCTAGGAAAAATAAAATAGGAAATCTTTCAAAGGTGGCACACTACCTTTAAAATTGACGAAGGAACAGCAGACAAACAGAGCATATTGGAACCTCAGAACACCTTGGAACTCAGTGCATTTTTATCTGAGACTCGTTGATAAAAAAAAAAAATGTAGCGTAAGTTTTATAAGCAGGAATGGCAGTGTTTTGTACAGTTCAGCGGCAAATACGTGAAGCGCTGCCGCCTGTTTCAGAGTGTCCGTCCGTCACCTTGTGACTCTGACGAAACAGCTAGCTGCTCGACAGCACACTGCACCACGGCGGCCGTCACAGCGCCGAGCAACTGAAGTGATGCGACAAACCGGTGCACCGCGGCAGACCGGTGCACGGAGCGCCCGACCGGCGAAATGGCGGCGAGTGGTGCGACTGGAATAGTTTGTTTCCTTGTTTTTGTCATTGTTTTATTTTACAGACCGGAGTGAAGTGAACTGTGGAATAGCGCCAGGAGTCAAACAGGAGTGAAACCTGACCTGCACGCTCATGTGTCAGGCTGTCAAGTTTGACAGAAAGCCCGCAGGAGCCACGGTGGCTTTCAGGCCTCACTCGAGCGTTGGAGGCCCCCCTCGCTGGCCTGCCGTGCCGTAGTGTCGGAGGCTCCATAGGCGGTCGCCCGCCTCCGCTGGAAGCTCTCAGTGGAACAGGAGCTCTTTGGACGGGTGCCCGCGTCCCGGAGCGCGCCTGGCCGGCGCGGCGGACGGCTGGCCCCCGCTGTGAATTGTGCTTGTTTGCTTGTTCACCAATGAGAAGTCGCGCGCCGCGTGCGAATATAAATGAATGGTGGATTATGGGATATCACAGATAAGTGTGTTGCTTAAATAGAATGATATCGCCTCATCGCGTTAAGAAAATAAAAATGTCAGGCATTTCAAGAATAGTGAAAGATGAATGCAATTTAATGTTTTCAAACTTCATTATCTGATGTTAGTCATTTTAAAATGTTATCGATAACACACTTGGCAACAACATTGGAAAAGCTAAATGCCCATTCCTCGTTTACCTTATGCCGATGTATGTTTTTTTAGCGTATGTATGTATGTATGTATGTATGTATGTATGTATTGACGATCAAGAGCAATCCACAATCGGCGTGGCGATTACACTCCGAGTCCGAGCTGGTTGAAGATAACACAAGAAATACCTACACAAGAAAACGCACACACTTACGGATACGAAATACACAACGCGAACGCCGAACACGCACATACTTGGTGTAACCCGCACGAAGCCGCGTTCATAACTATGTACACACAGACTCGTTTGCCTTTCATAGTCCAAGAGTCATGAGGCTAGCTACTATGGCTACTCTGGCTAGGCTTAAGCCCCTTTTTTACAGCACGGGCAAATCTGGCTGGAGGCAACTGCGTTAGCTCGAGGGGGAGAGTATTTAGGAGCGCCGCGGCACGGTAGGCGAATCTACGTTTTCCGGTCTCTAGTCGGGGTCGCGGTAAGTGGAAAAGGTGGTCTTGGCGAGTAGACCTTGCTCGTGTTTGGGAATTTTTGGAAAAAAGGGGCGCGATCTCCTCGGGTTCACCTCTCTGGATGGCCTTGTGCGCCGTGATAAGGGTATGGTATTCAGCCATTGATTTAGGTGCCATCCAGCCGAGTTGGTCCCGGAGATGGGAGACATGATCAAATTTACGGCGACCGAAAATGACTCTGGCGGCAAAGTTAAGAATAGCAGGTGATTTCGTTAAGCGCTAAATGCCCGCTGCTCCTCTGTGTTAAAGGCATTTGATAAGTATTTTCGGCCCTGGGGCATTCTTGTTTTACCAATGTGAAGATATTCGTAAAAAAGACATTCGTTAATGTAATGATTCAAATTCAGCATCGGTTTCCTTAAATACAACAGCAGTTTGGTAATAAATATCACGTCACCTTATAAACACCGCGCATGATTCCAAAACAAACGTTTTTTTGCGCATTTAATTTTATTGTGATCGACATTCCGTGCACTTGATTTTGTTGCTAAGCTGTTATGAAACAACAATTACGAACGTCCGTTCCGATTCAACAAACATGAATACTTGTTTACGCATAGATTTATTCAGGAAATCACCATTAAAGCATAAACCACTTTTCAGTGACCACAATCACATTAAGTTTACTAAGGCCTAGGCCAGGCTAAAGTTATTGAAAAACAAATCATTCTGAAGAATTTCAATAAAATTATCGATGATAACCAAATACTATAACTTTTACTTCATAGCCACTGACGTAATCATTCCATGTTTTCAAGGTCATTAGTGTTGTGTCGTGAATTTAGTTGCGCTGTTCAGTGTTCGTATCAGCTGCGCCAGAATTGTGCGAGGTTGCTTTGTTATTTTTAGGGAAGACCCAAGTCGTGTCAGCGGATTGCAAATTCCGAACCGGCGCCAAGGTGATTTGTAAAATGTAGACGTTTCATGCCCACGCGTTGTAGTCGTGCTTAGTTTCTTATTTGATAGGCACTACGATTGTAAGAACGCTCACCGCCCTCTCGTCTCGTGTTTAGTCACCGGCATCGGCCCACTACTAAGTCCGGGGTGGACTTCCGGTAATGGCGGCGTAGGCGTTGGTCACGTGGGTTTTTGGCATCTTGTTGTGCGGCGGCCAGAATACAGGTCCGGCAGTTCCGGTGATTGTTTTCGGCCGCCCGCCTCTCACGAGGCCACAGCGAAGAGGCAACACAACAAAGTGGCGACTGAGGACTTCGAACAGTGATTTTTCACCATGGATTTCGCGGCGGCTCCCGCGCCGTTTTTGCCCACCGCTGGAGCTGAGCCGGCGATTCCCTGGCCTCGGTGGGTCAGGATGTTTGAGAACTTTTTGTGTGCGGTCGGAGGTGACGCTTTCCCTCCCGCACGTCGCCAAGCTGTCCTCCTGACTTGTCTAGGGACGGAGGGGCAGCGGGTGTTTGAGAATCTGCCACCCATGGAGAAGCTGGAAAGCGAGGACGACTTCCAATGGTGCCTGCGCCGCCTCGAGGCCCATTTCGCTCCCAAACAGAATGTTTGTGTTGAGCGCTACCGCTTTCGCAGCCGGGGGCAGCAACCAGGTGAGACCACCAGCCAGTGGGTCTCCGTGCTGCGCCAGTTGGCCAGCACGTGTGAGTACGGTGCCCAGATGGACGAGTTTATCAGGGACCAGGTGATTGAGAAAACCGTGAGCTCTAAGCTGAGGCGGCGGCTTCTCATGGAAGGGTCAGGTCTGACTCTGGAGAAGACCCTGACTCTGGCCGACACCTTGGAGTCTGCTGAACGAGAAGCAAGGGTGATCGAGGGACCAGCCGTGCCTGTGCCTGTCCAGGCCCTGCAGCCACAGAAGTTTCAGCGAGGGGGGTCCAGACGCAGACGCTCCGGCCCGGTCCCAGCCCAGCAGCAGGAAGGACGGCAGCAGCTTCCGCAGGGGAGGCAGCAGCAGCCGAGACGGCAGCAACCACAGCAGCAGACAGCAGGCCCTGAGTGCTGGGGCTGCGGGCGCCCTGGACATCGCAGAGGTGACCGCAGCTGCCCAGCGTTCGGTAGGAAGTGCTCCAAGTGCGGTAAGACCAACCACTTTGCCCAGCACTGCGGTGCTAGTGTGGTTTCTAGTGTCCAGGTGCTAGCTGTTGGGGCTAGTGCCGTGCCGCTGACCCTTGATGCTGAGGTAGAGGGGCTCAAGGTAACTTTCACTGTGGACTCAGGGTCTCCAGTTTCCATCCTGCCGAGGGACTCTGTGCAGGGTGATCTCGGGGCAGCCGAGGAGAGCCTTTGTGCCTACGGGGGGAGCGTGCTAAATGTGCTGGGGGTGAAAAGTGTTCATGTGTCATGCCGGGGGAAAACCGAGTTGGTCAAAGTGTATGTTGTGCCGTCAGGACGCGCTCTGATGGGCCTTGACCTGATGGAAGTGTTTGATGTTTGTATTGTGGGCAACCGTGTGTGCAGTGTGTCCACCAACCCCACCTGTGTGTCCTCTCCTGAGCCTGCCCAACCCACCAGCCCACCTGACGAGCTACCAGCCTCTCCGGGGGCCCAACCCGCTATCCTTGGGTACCAGCACCGAGTGACAGTTGACCCAGGGGTACCACCAGTGCGCCAGCCACTGCGCCGCCTGCCTTTGGCTGTGCTGGACGCAGTGAATGCCCGGATTGATGAGCTGGAGGCCCAGGGTGTGATTGAGAAGGTGAGCGCGTCTCCCTGGATATCACCACTGGTCGTTGGCAGGAAACGGGACGGTGCCATCCGCCTCTGCGTTGACATGAGGAGGGTGAACCAGGCGGTCATCACGGATGGTCATCCTCTCCCGAGGATTGAGGACGTTCTCGATCGGCTCCGTGGTTCGCTGATGTTCTCCAGGCTGGACCTGAAGGACGCGTACCACCAGCTGGAGCTGCATCCCGACAGCCAGAACCTGACCACGTTTGTCAGCCACAAGGGTTTGTACCGGTTCCGCCGTGTAAACTTTGGTCTGGCGAGTGCCGGCCCTTGTTTTCAGAGGGTGATGACGTCGATGCTGGAGGGCATCCCCGGGGTGGAGGTGTACCTCGACGACATCATCATCCACGCACCGTCCCAGGCGGAGCATGACGCTCGCCTGAAGCAGGTGCTGCGGCGGTTGGAGGACCACCGTGTGAAAGTGAACTGGTCCAAGAGTGCCACCGGCTGCCGTGACATTGATTTCCTCGGTTACAGGATCTCAGCGGCCGGTGTGCAGATCGACCCAGGGCGGATCAGTCCGCTGCTGGAGGCTCCAGAGCCACAGGACGAGAAGGGCCTCCGCGCCTTCCTGGGAGCCACGGGCTACCACGCCCGTTTCATGCCGCGGTACTCGGACCTGGTCGAGCCGCTGCGAGCTGCGCTGCGCGCTGACAAGTTCGAGTGGTCGCCGGCGCTGTCCAGCGCCGTCCAGCGCGTCAAGGACGCCATCCGTCAGTCACCGGCGCTGGGTATGTTCGACCCCGCGCTCGCCACGGTGCTGACGACCGACGCCAGCGACGTCGGAGCAGGCGCGTGTGTGACGCAGATCGACGCCTCGGGGTCGCCCAGGGTCATCGTGTACGCGTCTAAGTCGTTCTCTCCGGCCGAGCGTAACTACTCCACTGTGGAGAAGGAGGCGCTGGCCGTGGTGTGGGCCTGTGAGAAGTTTCGCCACTATCTCTGGGGGCGGAAATTCACTCTGCGCACGGATCATCAGGCTCTGTGTACCATTTTCGGTCCCAAGGGTTCCACGCGCGTCGGGCGGCGTGTCGCGCGGTGGGAGGCCCGCCTGCTCGAGTTTTCTTTCGACGTTGAGTACGTCCGCTCGGAGCGGAACACCGTGGCCGACGGCCTGTCACGGCTGCCGGTAGCCGAGACCTGGTGGCCGGATGATGACGATCTCCAGATTGCAGCTCTGACGGTGGCAGCAGCCATCTCTGAGGAGGAGCTCAGCGACGCCTCGGCGGCCGACGAGTGTCTCAGCGTCGTCCGTGGGTACGTGTCCGGGCAGTGGCCCCGCCAGAGGGACGTTGACCCCCGAGCAGCTGGTTTCTTTCAGGTACGGGACGAGCTGTCCGTACATGGCCAGCTGCTGCTCCGCGGCGACCGGCTGGTGGTGCCAGCGGCGCTGCGCGAGCGCGTTCTGACTAACGCGCACGCGGGCCACCAGGGGGTGGTCCGCACAAAACAGCGGCTTCGTGAGCGTTTCTGGTGGCCGCGCCTGGACCGGCAGGTGCGTGACCTGCTGAAGAGCTGTGAGGTCTGCTCTCAGCACGATGGGCACGTGCGGAGGGAGAGGCCGCCCCTCCAGCCCATCCCAATCCCAGATGGACCGTGGCAGCGCCTCATGGTGGACGTGATCGGTCCCATGAGAGGTCCGTCGTCTGAGCGCTACGGCATTGTGCTCGTCGATATGTACAGCCGGTGGCCGGAGGTCGCGCTCTGCCAGGACGCGACGGCAGACAGTATCTGCCAGTTCCTGGAGACAGTGTTCGCTCGCGAAGGTGTGCCGCTGGAGCTACTGTCAGATAACGGCCCTGCGTTCCGGTCGGGCCGACTCGCCGAGTTTTTGGGTCGCATGGGCGTCAAACAGACGTTTAGTTCGCCCTATTCGCCGCAGACCAACGGCATGGTCGAGCGGCTGAACCGGACGGTTAAGGAAGCCATCCAGTCGGCTCGCCTGGCGAGGGAGCCGCGCTCGACGTTTGTCAGAAAGTTCCTGGGTGAGTACCGGGTCACGGTCCACCCGGCGACCGGAGTGTCGCCCTTTGTTTTGATGAGGGGGCGGGAGGCGCGGACGATTCTCGATGTGACCCCGTCCGATGTGACCCCGTCCGGCCGTGCTGCCGAGGATCGAGCTGTCCGGCAGCATCACCAGTCGTACCAGGAGACCTACAGGGCCCGGTATGACCGCACCGCCACGGCCGCCCCGCGATGGGAAGCTGGCGACTGGGTGCGAGTACGGAAGCCCGGGACGGGCCGGGTCGAGGGGCAGCGCTCTGTGCAGGTGAGCCGCAGGACCGGTCCGGTCAGCTACAGGCTGGCCACAGGTGAGCGGGTGCATGCCAGGCGCCTGGTACCGGGCCGCCCGGGGGAAGCTGATCGCGAGGTGCCGGTGACCTTTTACCCAGTCGGGGGCGAGCCCGAGCCTACTGACCCAGCCCCTGTGACCGTGGACCCCGCTCCTACCGATGATGTGTGTCCCGAGCCGCCCAGGGGTACCAGTCCAGTCCCAGCGGCGCCAGTCGGTGCCGCCTCTGACGAGCATGCGGCCCCGCGCCGCAGCCGTAGGGTGCGTAGGCCGCGGAAGCGTTTCTCGCCGTAGGTTAGGCGAGTTTGCGCGTGTACAGTTTAGCTCAGCACCGTACCTGTGCCTGGGTGTTTTCATAGGGTGTGTTTTCCCTCAAAGAGAGGGGTGGTGTTGTGTCGTGAATTTAGTTGCGCTGTTCAGTGTTCGTATCAGCTGCGCCAGAATTGTGCGAGGTTGCTTTGTTATTTTTAGGGAAGACCCAAGTCGTGTCAGCGGATTGCAAATTCCGAACCGGCGCCAAGGTGATTTGTAAAATGTAGACGTTTCATGCCCACGCGTTGTAGTCGTGCTTAGTTTCTTATTTGATAGGCACTACGATTGTAAGAACGCTCACCGCCCTCTCGTCTCGTGTTTAGTCACCGGCATCGGCCCACTACTAAGTCCGGGGTGGACTTCCGGTAATGGCGGCGTAGGCGTTGGTCACGTGGGTTTTTGGCATCTTGTTGTGCGGCGGCCAGAATACAGGTCCGGCAGTTCCGGTGATTGTTTTCGGCCGCCCGCCTCTCACGAGGCCACAGCGAAGAGGCAACACAACAATTAGCTTCTTGACTTTTGATGCATATTCTTTCATGTGTTACTGCGTTTTCACTCCTTGCTATCTATCAAATTAATTAAATGGTTTTCGTCTGCTGTCATTGCTAATTACTATAAATCCCAACCGCATCAAATAAAATCAATGTATGTACCAATTTACATACAGGTTCATTACTGATTAGTAAAGACAGCAGTAATTGTTGACAAACCGACGCAATTAATGCCTTTTATCACCTAAGACGTCGTCGGCTTAAAGGGACTATCCCACCTTCTAAAATGTTGTTAAAACCAGTTAAATTGTGCCCGACTTCATAGATTGGATGACCAGGAACACGGTTCTGGCATTTATTTTTCATTAAACATCTTAGGCTTCCCATATTCCAAACACAAACTTTCAAATATGTAACGTCACAGCCCAAAATTACCTCCTTCCCCAGGCCACATTACTGTCATAAAGCTGATTCTTTTTACTCTGTAGGCACCACAACAAAGTTCAGACCAAGTTTTAAGCGATTTTTCAACGAACAAACCCATTTAAATCAGAATGACAAAACGAGGTGACGTCACACTAACGGTCGCTCCATGTTGAAGATAGGGCCTTGTACAAGGCCCATTTTCAAATGAAAGGAACGAATTTCTTCAACACCAAGAGGCCGCGGT